GGTAGGGAGCATTTAGCCTGCCAGCGCAGGCCTGGCTTCAGGAGGAGTTCTGAATTAATTCAAAATACTCCCAAATGCTGATTAAGTCAACCTACCACCTCCCAAATTCCAGGTTTTTATAAGAAATGAGTAAGCTTTGGTCACTAGCTAGCTTTGCTTATGTAAATTATCTTTATCAAAAGGGTGTTGTTCGACTAGTATTATGATTTATCAAGTGATATAAATTGTTAAGTTAAAGTTAACAACTTTGATTTTAAAGTAAAAATCTCAGATCTCTTAGATTGCCTGGCTACATAGTTCTAATCACACACACATTAACGTTGTAATAGAGACTCAGGCTAGATTCAGTGAGGATGAACAGGAGACCAGGAGCCTCAAGGGTTTTGTATGAACCGAGTATTCAGTGTTCTTAATGGGCTGACACCATTTCTTTCTAGAAATCGAAAAGACTAAGACAATGCTGTTTAAAGACAGTTAAACATCATTACTTAGGTGGAAACTCAAGTCATCAACACTTTCACATACTTGCCACTGTTCCAAATACTGTGGATCCACTTTGGCTTACATTTCTTTAATTTTCCCATGACCGAGTTCTGAGCACACAGTTCTAATTATGGCATCACGTGTCAGAGATGGAATGAGGTTTCATTTTTGCTATCTGAGGACTGATCACACATACACATTCCAAGGACTGTTTTTTTTTCTTACATTTAGCCCCATAAACTCTCCACGCTTACTCAAAACAAAATTTAAATGAACTTGCGAAGATTCATATGTTATGGAATAGAAATCTGAAGGTTTTGCTATTCAGTATTTATCAAGAGTAAGAATTTTGACTTTACTCAGAATGTGAGGTTGAGTACCTACTGCCAAATGCCTTCAGCTTTTGTCCCCCTCCAAACAGTGACACTGTGTGGTTTTCATAGGGCTGTCATCAAAAAGCATCACAGAAACCTGTCTTATAGTGTTGGAGTCTAAAAGTCTCAAATGTAGGTGTCCCTATGATTGAATCTGTCTGATTCCATGTTTCTCTCCTTACTTCTGGTATTTTGCCACAGTTGTTAGTATTCTTTTGGCCAAAAGAAACAATACCCTAATTTATACTTCTGTCTTTATCTGACATTTGGGTGTACTTCTCTTGCCCTTCATAAGATGTTCTCTAAATGATACTATTCAAATTGAGTTAACCCCTACCCACATTACAATAAAACTTTATTTAAAGTGTCCATAATGATCATATTCTCAATATTTATTTAACATTCTGAGGAGTTGAGGGTTAGGATTTACTTATATGAGGACCACAAGTCAACCCATGATAACTAAAGGTGTTGTGACAAGGATGGACAGTGCATTCCATTGTGAGTGAGCTGGTTTAGCTGTTGTTTTCGGGGTTGTATTAGTTCTCATTAGAGCCAATAATAAGAACTAAAACCTATAAAATATACTATAATACCAGAGAGGAACAAAGCTATGGATCTGAGTTCTGGATGCTTGACCTTTCAGTTATAATGTGGGATCCTAAATGAACATCTACAGATCTTAAAAATGTAATACCTCTAATAGAATGGCTTTATAGGTCTAATCCTGATACCTGTGCCCAGTCCTGAATTACTCAGTTTCTGGATACAGTCTTTCATTCTTTATGCTGGTGTCAAACAAACTGCTCTGAAACTGAAGTAAAAGTGGATGTCCTTAATGTAAAAATCACTTTCTATCTGATAACTTGTTGTCTTTCTTACCAATAGAGATTGAGTCACTTTCTGGTCACCCCAGCCAGAAGGTTATTGTAAAAGATGTAGAGACCGGGATGTCTATCAGTTTTCAAGTCCTTCTGGCCATCAGGCAAGCACAGTCAGGAAACTCTTCTCAGTTTGTGCTGGGATGGAGAGGAAGGCTGATTGATAGAGAGCATCCCACTTGACCTCAGGGATTCTCAAAAGGCTGGCAGGGTTCCCGAGGGCTGACCTCCTGATATTAATATTAGAATCTAGTATTGGAGTGCTTTCTGCCCTTCTATGATAGACCATTGCTATACTCACAAAAGGTTTGCTCAAAAATTGCATGTTTCAAGGCCTTCTAGCATTAGTAACAGTATTTTTTTAGGAAATAGCATTATGGAGTTGCTGCTCTGCTCATATCTATATTGAATATCATTTTGTAAAAGCAGAGAAAGGACAAACAATGATGCTAATTCGAAAATACCTCTAACTAACTGATAACTTTCTCTAATTTTGGAGGATTTAACATAGTGTAGCTTCTATGAATACAAATGTGTGACAAAAATACATGTAATTTATATTGTGAAACAATAGATGAGTCAGAAAAAAATGATCTGACTCTCTCCTCTGTAGAAGTATTTATGTGAGGAGGATGCTATTGGGTCTTGCAATTATTATTTATAGAAAGTGTAATTGAAGTTCCCAAATTATATAAATGTGTTAGTTTTTTCCTCTTTTAATATGGCCATTGTTTACTCCCACATTAGCAAGAACTAGGTTTATTTAAAGAATAAAAGTCTCATATGATAAAGGAAATGTGTACATCACTTCTAGTCTTCAAGGTTATTCTTCCATAAGAAGAGTAATGACAACAAAATGACATTTCATATTTACTTTATAGATCTTTTAAAAATGTCTTAAATTGGATACAGCCACTTATGCCTCTTATCTCAGCATTCAATAGGAGGAAGCAGAAAGATTTCCTTGTTTAAGGAGCTTGGGTTAAATAGTGAGACCCTATCACAAACAAAAAAGCAGAATAGAAAGAAAAAAAAAGAAAACAAAGAAAATAACGTCACATTTTGAGACTAATATATTTTCCATGATTATTCTCTTCTTAAATTCATATAAATGTGAGATCCAGAGAAACTTTTTTAAAAAATTTGTTTTATTTTTAAATTATGTGTCTGTATCTGTGTGTATGTGAACATGTGTACCATGGCCATAGAAGCCAGAAGAGGGCATTAAATTCCTTGGAGCTAGAGTTACAGACATTTGTGAGCTGCCCAGTGTAGGTGGTAAAGATCAGCCTTGGACCCTCTGCAAGGCCAGCAAGTGCTCTTAACCACTGAACCATCCTTCCATCTCTGAAACGAACTTTTCAAACTGTTTTCATTATGTATTTTATTTGCATTAAACTAGAGAGATGAATGTTCTTCTTATTAGGTAGATAATTGAGAGGTGATTATCCAGGTGGAAGAGAGAACTGACTACTCCAACTTGATGCTTACATTTGCTTATTACAGATGATAGTGAAAAATGCAGCCAAATGGTTCCCAGTTAAGAGCCTGTCCAGGTGACCACAGGCAGTAGAATCTAGCATCCCTTTGATTTCACTGGAGGTATTAAAGTGTTTCTGTTAGATGTGCCTCATGCTCTTTCCCTTCATATCACTACTGATTTACTAGATTAGGGTGATCTGGTTAACATGGGCCACATTGTTTTATTCTTTTATTATCTGGACTCCCCCTTCTTCCCCAGAGATTGAACTCAGAGCCATGCTAAGCAAGTCCTGTGCCACCACAGCCTACTTCTCTGGCTCTGGTGAAAGTGGATGATTAAAACATATGCTGAAAAAAATGAGTGGTTGTTATTTTCAATCCCTCCATAGTATTGATGTAAACAGTCCTTCTTACAAAGTCATTTATATGAAAGCTACTAAGAGGGGCTAGTTGGTAGGGGTGGGAACATTTAGCCTTCCAGTGCCAACCGGGGTTCCATAATTGCACCTGATTTTAACCCTGCCCACCAGCCTGATTGTACTCCACACCACTGTTTTTTCTGAAATTCCAGTGCAGTATCTGCTGACTCTTCTGTATTTAATTTTAATTCATTTTCACCAGGCCCAGGGATTCCATTACCAGTAAACAAGCTTTAAAAAGGAAACATTGGTAGGAATTCCACATATTTTAATCAGAGCACAATCATTATTGTCCAACTAAATGCTCAGCATTAAACTCAAATGGACTTTCAGAATCTGCCCTAGAAATTAGTATTTAATACCAAGAACAGCTGCAGACAGGAAGTCTTAGTGAACTTGTGCTAATTCATGTATTGTTAACATTAAAATCATCAGTGGCCATTTAGGCAGCTATAGGAAAAGGTTTTATGTAGGTACAACACACAAACTTTGTAGACAGTAGTACCCATGAAAGATACAGATGAACCATTGTAAGTTGTAGTTTATGTACTCACTGAATAAGCAAAGTCATGTTTTTTTTTTTTCCCACTGTAAGAACCTATAGTTGACATACAGTCTAGGGTTCACTGAGAGGAAAGTGGATAGGATTGTGTCTTGGCCCTGTTGCTGTACTTACTCACAGCTTGTCCACACAGGCAGTCAGTCCCCCTGCTAACTTTAAGTTATCCTTGTACCACCCAGGCCCACACCCCCTTCTACTTCAGGCTTCTCATCTGTTCAGCGGTAAAACTACTGTTTCTGCCTACTACACAGATGTTGTTGCACAAATAAAATGACATATGAAATGCTTCTAAACTGTGAGTGTGCCTAGAGATGTTTAGCTTCAACATTATCATGGAAACTTTCACTAAGAAGGGTCTCCAAATGAACTTTTCCTTCTGGACATCTCTGCATTCAAGAGAAAAACAGTAGTGCAAAGATATGTCATTTTGATGTGCTATACTTGGTTGTTTCCCTTTGGGGTCCTTCTCCATCTGAGTGGAGAAAGGGGAGGAGGAGTGGATGGGGCATGGGGGAGAGGGAGGTAGGGGAATAAGCAGGAGGAGAAGAGGGAGGGGAAACTGATTGGTATGTAAAATAAATGTAAAAATGATGAAAAATCACGTGGTCTTGAGAATTGAAATATGCATATGAATGGATGAGCAACTTCCCCTTGATTAGTACAATAATGCTAGTACTTGTTTTGCTAGTAAGTAGAATTCAGATATTCATTTTGGCTTTATATGTGTCAGTCACTGTTTTATTGTGTACTGTATCTTGAGGACATGAGATGGTCTTAACTATTCTGGACTTCTTCACAGGGCTGTCCTTCGCTATTCTTTCATCTGTACACCCAGTTTTTGGTTTATATGGATCTCTGTTTCCAGCCATCATTTATGCGATATTTGGAATGGGACGCCATGTTGCCACAGGTATTAATTACTGTCTATGCCTAAGCTTCTCATATAACTAAGAAAAGGGACTCAGGGTGGTTATTAGCTCCTGCTTACCTTTTCAAAACCATTCTACCCTACTATTATATGTGAGGTATGCATATTTATTAGATAGATACTCTGTTTCATTGCTATATTCCTGTGCTATAAAAGAAATTGAAAATAGAAACATTGCTGAGTTTACAATGGAATAAGAGATTGTAAAAATTTGAAAGAAAACAAAGATTATAAAATTTAGTTGTTCAAATATTAAAATTTTTTTGGGTGTATTTCTTTGGTTCATGAACTGAATGATATGTTTCCTTTAGGTAGATTCTACAGGACCCTTTAATTAGTGTATCTTTTTGTTTTGTTTTGTTTTGTTTAAAGATAGGGTTTCTCTGTGTATTGCTGGCTGTCCTGGAACAGGACAGACTGGCCTTGAACTCACAGAGATCCACCTGCCTCTGCCTTCTGAGTGCTGGGATTAAAAGTGTGCACTACCATGGCCCAGCTTACCCAGTGTATTTTACTCTACCTCACTCTGTATCTCTGAGAAACACAAAAATGAATACAAAAGGTGACTGGTCATGATTATTTTGGTGATAGAATGGGCTGCATTTCTGAATGAGCTACACCTAAGCACATGCCTCATTTGTTGTTCATCACCTGCATGACCCTGGGCAAAGTTTTGAAACTCTAGTTGTTACTTTTTAAATAAAATGACCTCTTCCTCATTCCATAGTAAGAGCTACACAATTAGTATATTGTGTTTTACTTAATACTTACTTATATTAATGCAACAAAAAGTTTTCCTATTATAAAATGACATCTTAATATTAAATATTCAGCTAATAACAAAATATATTTCAATAGAAATATCTGCAGACATTGCTATTCAATTTGTGAGACATCTAAGGCTCTGAGGACTAACATTTATAATATGTCACCTGTGGTCAGTTTGTTATTGATTGTATTACTTTCCTACTGTCACAAATTATCACAAGATAAGTGGCTTGAAACCGAGGAAGTTAACTCTAAATAGATCTGGAGGTCGAGGTGCTCTGAATAAGTGTTCCAGACCCAAAAATGAGCAGTCAGCGAGGCTGTGTTTCTTTCTGTGTGCTTCAGCTCATTTTCCTGACTTTTCTGTCTTCAAGAAGCTTTCCTGCATTCCTAGACTCCTGGCCTTCCAGTGGTTTTCATGGCCAGTGGTGGCATTTTCAGACCTCTCTCTGACTTCACATTCTTGCCTCTATCTTCTGTATTTACAAGATGCTGTGATTTCACTGTCTATATCCAGACAATCCAGGATAATTGTATTGTAAGACCAACTACATAGTGAACTTAATTTCACCTGTTATATTTATGATTTCTTGATATGGAACATACATATTTCTGGATTCTTAAAATTAT